ATGAAAAATGTGCGTGTGTGTGCGTGCGTGCGTCTATGTGAGCGTTTGCGTGTATGGATGCGTGAGCGCGTGCGTGAGCGCGTGCGTCGGTGTATGCGTTTGTGCGGGCGTTAATGTTTGTAGCATGTGCGCGTACGTGCGTGCGTGCGTGCGTGCGTGCGTGCGTGCGTGCATGAACGCGTGCGTCGGTGTATGCGTTTGTGCGGGCGTTAATGTTTGTAGCATGTGCGCGTGCGTGCGTGCGTGCGTGCGTGCGTGCGTGCGTGCGTGCGTGCATGAGCGCGCGCGTCCGTGTATGCATTTGTGCGGGCGTTAGTGTGTGTAGCGTGTGCGCGTGTGGCTAGCGCGTGTGTGTGTTGTACTGTGTGCGTGTGTGTTCGCCTCGTTATAGGAACGGTAATGCGCATTAGGAAACGATAATATATTGTCTATGTTCGCGCCAACGCTAGTTTTAATGGCGCTGCATACGCATCAAAATGATCCCACCGGGAACAACGCGGCTGAAAAACAAACGAAAACAATACCGAGAGACCTCGCATCCAATTTCATGCTGATAGAACTGCGCGTTAGGTGGCGGTGATGTGTTAGTTAGTGTTTTCCCTGCAGAGGGGCATCTTCCGACAGTCGTGGTAGGCTGATACATTTGACGTTGGTCAGAGAGCGAAGAACGAGAAGGAGACAGCCAAAGGGAACGAGACAGGGGTAGGGAGAAGAGATGGGGTTTGAACGAGGGGGAAAACCGGGAAGAGAACCAGAACAACCAAAGGAAAAGAAAAAAGGGAAAAGGGTCTTCTCTCTTTTCCTCCTCGCCATGCCAAAGATGGCCACCGAAGAGGATCATTGGCTCCTCTTGTCGGTGCCTTCTTGCTTAATTATTACGCTAGCAAAATACACGAGTTGAATGGTAATTAGCGACTCATGAATTACTAGTCCTAATTGACGTTTCGTCAAACAATCTGGCATAATTAAATGCACTGTAAACAATTATCCTGGCAGTCATGAATAAGCCGCTGTTTTGAAGCTCGTTCGATGGATACCAAATCAGTTGGTGGCAGAGCAAATCATGATTGCTTATCGGAAATTTAAAGTTATGCGTATATTGATTCACTCACTCACAGGCAATCATAGTAACGCGATAATCTAGGATATATTATTCTGGCGCGCAATGGTTGATTCATGCACCTGGATATTTGTTGGGTATCGGTTGCTAAGCATTGTCACTATACCTACGTTCACGTGAAAGTTTCTCTTTTGGTGATCGAGTCAAACTCGATGCAAACAAGCTCGTTGCAAACACGATTAAACAGTAAAAAACCCACCCCGAAAAATATGAATATATATATATAGTATGAGGTTAGAAATATGTTGCTTGTACGGATCGATGCTAGGAATTTAAGCAGCCAATACCAGGTGTTAATATCACTCAATAATATACTAGTACTTAGAATATGCACCATCAATGATGGAGGAAGGAAGAAGGTAGAATGAGAACTGAGGCGAGAGTGATATAGTTAAAATACGGCGACTCTGAGTCGTGTTATCAAAAGAAACATGGACGAGGAAAATTACGTTATAAAAACGAGTAGAAGTGTGAGTATCTATTCAACCCGCCATCACTACAACAGTATTCTACATTCTACAGTGTAAAACCAGGCTTTTTTGCATGATTTTATTTAAACGAATTCGACCATATTATCGCTAAAGAATCCGTCAGAATCAGTATGGCGGCTTCCAGCGATTACTCCTGCCCACACAACAGAACGTAGTCGTGTGAAAACACGCCCGTAAAGATCTTCATCTGCACACATCCATCAAAGTGTCAGTTGCGATCTTTCCCCCAAAAAAATGCATGAGGTAAAACATCTACGCTCGTCCGGTCTACTAAAGCTTATATAGTACCCGGCGTCTGTCTTTTCTCGAGTGATACTCCATTAGAAGTAGGATTAGGATTAATGGTTAGGGTTATGGTTAAGGTTAGGGTTAGGATTAGGGTTAGGATTATCAATCATTAATTATTAATCATTAATCATTAATGATATCAAAGTCGGGAACACTCCTAATGGAGCGTTAGCCATTTTCTCGGTAGTCTCCTACGCGGGAAATCACGTGATCCATTTTACGTGACGTAATTGACGTCATCATCGTGACATGGCGAAATGAAGCGACTTAATTTTAACTTTGCCGGTTGTTTTTTTCGGGGCGGGGTGGGGGGAATAAAATCGCAGGTTTATGCAACGTTTCTCATTATAATTATATTTGGTCAACTTCGCATTTCGTCGACATTTGCTTTCGGATTCATCAGGCGATCTTGTACACGACCTGCGCTATGCAGAGCAGAGCAGCGCTAACGAATTCTGCGATGCGGTGGAATATAAACAATAGCCTGTCGCGCTGATAAGAAGCTTAAAGAATGCCAGTAAACAAAATAACGTCACCCAGCTTGATCGATGATGGTGCTGATGGCAGCAAGCATGCACGCGGCGTGTGTGCGTACAGTGGC